GAAGATTAACAAAAAAAAGAATAATTCAACAATTAGTAAATAATAATACAAGAATAAACTCTGTTTCACATCCTCACAACCGTAAACCTACTTTTGCCCCACCCTGGACAAGTTACATAGAAATTTAAATGCAAAAATAAGAGCTCTTCTCACGTGATTTGATTTGAGCTTAGCTACATGCACCCTCTTAATATAAGGCCTAAACGATTAGCCCTTTAAGCTTACCTTTAGAAACATTTATGCTAATCCTCTTTGGAGTAATGTATTAAGTGTCTGTGCCCATGTGTGTTTATGGGGAAGGTGAAAGTGAAGCGGGATGTTATACCGCATTTCAAAGCTATTAAAGCTGCTTGGAGCTGCCCTGCCCCTCACAGAGATTAGTCCCATTCCTTTAGAAACTCATCGGGACCTTAACTATCATGTATCATCCCAGCTGGAAAGCTTGGTCTCTAATATCTCAATGGCAGGAAGAAAAGATGGGTACCAGGGTAGGGATGTGCCTGCCTCTGTTTTTCAGTCTTTTTTAGCAGAGCCAGCTCAAGCAAATATTACTATTTATTATACTCTGTGCTCTCGATCTCACTATTGTTGTTTCACCCTGATCTCCCTGGTTGCCTGGGATCCTGGACTTTTTCATCCCTTCCCTCCACCAGACTTGCTATCCTGTGTTCCGTTCTGTCGGAATCAAGCTTATGTGAAGAGTAGACATGAAAGTACAAAGTGCGATGAATTAAGACGTCAGTCAGATAGCGTGGTTGCATTTTACAGGGTAGAGAAATCTGACTCCACTCTAAGTAATGTTTATTGGTGGGAAATTTCAGCCCTAGGCTAGTGGACACACTCATTTATTTAGGCATTAAAAATTAATTTCCAGCAGGACTAATGATAATGGAATGGATGGCTGTGCTCAGGGGCCCTCCTTGTTTTTTTTTTCTTGATAGCTGAACCATTTTTAACTGCGAATAGTCTCATATCTTATGGTGCAGATACTCCTAAGACATGGAGCTCACCAACTTGAATTCCACATTGAGGTATAAATATCTAATGCCCTGCCTCGGGCAAGGGTCAGAGAGGGTGAAGAGTTCCATGATTTTGCCCAAGACGACCTGTCCTTGGAGAACTCACACCCACTGCATCTTTTATCAGTCTTAGCATGGGATTTAAAAATCCACCCATTCATTGTTATCACTTCACAACTCAGAAGTAAGGTGGTCTTGTTTTGTTTTGTTTTAAGCCTTCAGATGTATGGAAAGGTAACAAAGGTGCCTTCAAGCTGCGTGAGCTCCCTTCTCTAGAGGGGAGGCCTTCTAATCAGCCGAGTGGCCGGGAGGGTGGGCCAGGTAAATGCTGCTGGTTATAGCCGATGATAGTTTAATACTGGATCTTTGGGTTCCCTGTGTCTGTTCTAGAAATTTGTGGAAGTCAGCAGGCTGTAGCCAGACCCCCAGCCCCTGCAGAAATTCAAAATGAGTGTGTGTGTGCAGTGCCTCATCTAAATGAGGAGTCACAAACCCAGATGGCCCCCAAAGCCAGTCTTGAAAACAGGAGAAATTTCCGAGGTCCATTTCACCTAGAGTGTGTGTGCCCAGAGGAAGGGTCTGCCCTCTAGTGGAGTTGCCCTGTGGGAATGTGGACCTGGGATTGCCAGATCTTCCGAGCTTTTAAGAGAAAGTGGAAACCTGTGTTTAATGAGAAATAAATTAGCAACTAATTAAAAACCCCCAGAAAACTCTGAATGAGAATGGGTGAACAATTTCACATGGGCCAATAACACATGCCTTTTGGCTCTTTATGGCCAGTGGTGGTCAAAACCAGGGAGACTGGCATTTAGGGCCTAGATATCATGAATTTACGTCCGAATTATAGCTTCACCCTTCCCTTAACTGCAGAATTGCCCTTTTATATGTGATTGCTGCCAGGTTGTCACCTGTAGGTTTGTCAGAAGCAGCAGTTTCCCTTGTCCAAGCCTGTTCCCCTGGCAGCCTTCTTTTCAACATCTGCTGTGTAATTCTCAGAGCTAGAGTGTTGCAAGGATGGGTAAATTTTGACTAAGAAAGCTGTGTAGTTAGGAATTTCCTAATTGTGAAGTCAGTTAGCTCTGCCCCTTGGTGGTGTCACCTTCCCCTTGGTGGCGTCACCTGCCCCTTGGTGGCTCTGGGGGAACCTGGACCAGGAGCCACTTGCAAGGGTTTCACAGGTAAATGGCCTGAGTGTGCTCCCTCACATCCTGTCCACGGTTGAATTGGGTCATTAATGAAACAAATTCTGAAGATGCCATCTTGGAAGCTCTGTATGAACTATGTTCTGAAGTCAGGAAGAGTGGGCAGTGCTGCAGATGTCGTGGGAACAGCGCTGGCCTCAGGTCTGTGGTGGCTCTGAAAGGAGCATCGCCCTCTTCCTGTCTGTATGCCCGCCACACCTGTTCTGGGGAGGGGACAGTGGCACACTTCTGCTTCCTGGGAAGACACGGCGGCTTTGAAAGATGAAGTGATCTTCCTGAGGTTGTCCGCTGGCTGGTGGCAGAGCCTGGATTTGAAACCCCTTCTCCTGGTCTGGGCCTGTCTTGGATCCTGGTACTGTGGGCTTACGTGGGCTTGTTTTCATTGGCCTAGACCACCTGGTTTGTCTTCTTTTCTGATTTTTTTATTTATTTCTGTACTTTTTTCTATCTTTTCATACTCAGAAGTGGGTGCTGTCAAGGGCTGTCCTCCAGGGAGGCTGTCCAGGCCCCCAGGTGGTCCTGTCCCTGGCCTTTCTGGCTACTTCTGCTGCCCTGACCTCTTACCGCAGGGCCCCTGCACTCTGCCTCCGACCAGCGTCTGCCTCTACTGCTTTGTCTCCTGAAACACCCGCAGGCAGGTTAATTAAGAAGCAATGGGGGGAAAAAGGACATCTGTAATACTTTCAACAGTAAAGATTAAAAAAAAAAAAAAAAGCAATGGAAAATGCAGTGGGACGAATATGGAGTGAGGGAATCATGGGGCACATGGAGCGGGGTGGAAGGAAGGGCTGTAGGGAAGCTGCTTAGCAGGTGGGGGGACGTGGGCGTGGTGCGCTCACCTGTCTGAGGTGGGACTCCCCTCTCTGCCCCTCTCTGCCCCTCTCGCCCCCTTGACCAGCACAGGCAGGCCACCTAGTCTTCCTGACCCCGGGCTTCCTGACATGTGAACTGGAGTCTAGACTCATGCCAGAGGTTTATGATAAGGATCCAATCAGCAACTTATTTAAAAGAATTGTCCTCAGAAGATAGTGACAACTGTGGTGGCTGCTGCCCTTAGCATTCTGATTTTTTATATTTCTGAATTGCTGATCAC